GACAGCATCTGTGGAGGGAAAGCAGAGTTAATGTTTTGGGTCCGATGACCCTTGTCCAGAGCAGACTCAGCCAGTATTGCCCACATCTTGTGAACAGCAATGAGTAAATCCCCATTTGGACCCAAATTGGGACCTGTTACCATCCTTCTACTACGCACGCAACTTTGGGATTTTCTTTTACGTTAACTGCCTGTCTCTTTGCACAATCCCCCATTGCATTTCTTAGCTGCATTTTTACCTTTCTTCTGAGTTGTTTGTTTTCTGCTTGTTTCTCAATTTAGAAGGCCTTCAAATGGAAATCTAATTTTCTGAGTGACTGAGAAACATATACAGTATTGTGTGAGTGAAATCCCAAAATTAAGAGGCTTCTTCTTTACCCCATCCCTCATGCTGTCTCAGTGCTTGCATAAAACCTACTTCAGTAAGATATAAAATACTCACGGATCCAATTCGCAATGGAAATAACATTTCAGGAAATAATTCTGTTTTAACTTTTTAGAAGAATTTATAATGCAAGTTGCTAAATGTTGCTTGTTTCCTTTGGTAAAGGGCCTGCCCGGTACACCAGGGACAGATGGAAGTGGAGGTGTTGTGGTAAGTGTGCAGCATATTCAAAAATAACAATCTATGCAAATGGCTTTCAATGTGCCAGTCACCTTGATCCTTTACGCATCCAAGTGCAGCATTGGTTTCTATTCTTGTTCATGACCATCCACTTATACCAGGCCTTCATTTTGAGTTGTTTTGAACCCACATGATGTTCTCTCCTTCCAGCTGTTTCTCACTCCTGATAATCATTTCCCTTTAGTTCCCAATTCTTATGGTTGCATATGCATCACATTACCTCGATATGAATACAAGTGTGCATTTATAATATCTGAGTTTGGAGATCTTGACCACAGCGATGAATTTTCACATGTAACTGACAACTACCTGGCCAAAAAGAATTTTGAAACAAAAATAAGGTATGAAAGATGGCGAATCAGGCACCACTTGGAGGAGCAGGACTGGTCAACATTCCAAGTAAGATCAATCATTAGATTGAACATCGTCAGGGTGGAAATGAGTTTTAAAATGAAAATGGCTGATGTAAATCAGTGGATGCAGCATTGTGTTATCTCACAGCTAGTATGTGATGTACTTTCAAGAGATATGCTCATGTTTCATCACCATATAACAGCATGTGTCCCAATGGTCTTAAGCTTGCAGACGGCATCTTACTGAGCTCCGTGCTTTGGAATATGGCATGCTGCAATAACTGAAATGGCTTCACTTGAGGCCAGATAGATTAGTGACTGTAGTGTACTTACACAGATACTAATCACTGCTTTAAAAATTCGTTGAATTCTTCTGTACTATATGATCCATGAAAATGAAAATCTGAAGTTAAAAGCTTCTCACTGGTTTTAAAATGACATCAACAAACAAAGGATACTGTCAGTTTAATTGTGCAGTGTTTCTGTTTGACATAAATGGCATTATAGGCATAAAACAGACTTTTTTTCCAACCTGGAGCAGCTTACCTATGTGCAATGATTGGTTGCTCTGATATTTCCTCCCTTTAAAATCAGCATCAGTGCATCCAAATTGTTTAGCTTGACTAGACGTGCAAATGCCTGTGATTGTAATGTTACATGTATAGATACCAGCTTCTGTGATAAAAGTCCATCGAATTCTTTAGTCCTTTGTGAGCCATGTCTCATCCATATGTTAAGGCAGCTAGCACAAATACCACTTTATCGCTCAGTTGGATCATTATTTGTTGTTTGAATCAAGCAATTTGTTGGTGAATCACCTTGCCTGTCAGTGGATCAGTCTCTGTTGATCAGTACATCAATCTACCAGTCTGTTGGGCTACTCTATTTTACATTTATAATATGGATGAGGAATGGATGATGTTCACACCTGATTATTTACCGTAGTGTTGCATGACAAAAGGGAATTTAACCCATGTACCTCCTCGCCGTGGAATGTAAATTAATTACTTGAACAAGGACTTTTGATTTTGAAAATTTCTATTCCAATGTTAATTTGTGTATCATAACCAGGAGAATCTTTGCTCTGTTTCACAGTGTAAAATGTCCTGTCCTGCAGGCCCTCCTGGGCCACCTGGGCTACTAGGGTTTAAGGTAAACAACAATTAATTTACGTTATGTTACTGTAGTATGTACAAATACAATGATTGAGGACTTTTGACCTGCAACCTGTCACATAAGAAAACACAATAAGGAAAGATTCCAAGAATTGGCCCATAAATCATTAAGAATTTATCCTCTTACAAGCTCTTCTCCAGCTGTTTAATATTCTCATGGAATGGTTCTGTCATCTGCCTGAGGCATGTTGCATAGAGTACAGGAAGACTTATTGCTCTCCATTGAGTAGTGCCCTAAAATCCTTAATAGTCCTCAGAATGGGCTTCAGTTTATTTGACATCCAAAGATGATCACCTAAGAACGGAACACTGTCTTAATTCCACACTGAAGTTGCAACTGAAATTGTGTCTTGTGTGGTGCCAGAAGCCTAAACTTCTTGACTCAGAAGCAAGGACATTGCCTACTAAACTCAACTGATGCTTCAAGGCCAGACTTGCCTTCTTGTTGTGTTGACAAATTTTGATTTTACTTTTCTACTGACAGAAATGGGTTTTCACTCTTTGATATGAGAGTTTGGAAAGTCAAACCCCCTTACCTAAGGTATCTGCTCTCCCATCCACACGTGTGTTGCTGGACCGTTCTGTGCAGGGATTACCATCACGGTCCAAGCCTCGATCACTGTCACTCTTCAGCCAGTCTTCACTTCTTCAGCTCCTTCACCATGGGAAGCAAATTATACCAACTGTTCCTCCTGTGTTGTAAAGTGTTACCTGGTTTCTGCTGTCCTAGTAGTATGAATTACATTGAGAGTGCAGACATAATGGGATCAACCCTGTCTTCCACTGTTCAGTGAGGCTAGATTTTGGTTTCTCAGCAGAACACATCTTGCAACTGCTCAGAAATAGTGATTCTTAAACTAATTACCCTTCTGCTTTCAGGGCCACAAAGGTCAAAAAGGTACACCTGGGGAGGCTGGAAAGGAGGGTGCAAAGGTATGTGAATAAAGCCACATTTCTGTGTAGTTTACACACTTGTCTATGTTTGACTTAAGATTTAAAAAGCTCGTTTTTGCAAATGTAATACTCTAAGATTAACAGAACCAGTGCAGGCACAATGAGCCAAGTGGCTACCTTCTGCACTGTAATGATTCTGTGACACTGGTACTTTATACATCAGGTGAGAATAGGGAGACAAATCACTGTCCCTGTTGCTGACTGGAGTTATCCCCCTATCCACAGCCTATCCACCAGCAACCCGTTCCCCCAACCTCACACAGAGCCCACCTTTATTGGACAGGCTAAAAGGTGACAATTTAAGAACCTTTTGAGTAAAGCAGCAATTAAATCTTGTTTCAATTGTGTAGAATATAGGTGCGACCAAACCTGGAGTATAATGTGCAATTAAGACGGATTCTATTGCAGGATTACCAGACCATTTCATGGGATGGTAGGACTGTCCTGTGAGGACAGGTCACTGGGACTATAATGTCTGCAGTTTACAAAACTGAAAGATGATCTCATTGAAACTTAGAAATATTCTTAAAGGGTTAGACATTACATGCTGGAAAGAATGTTTCCCCTGGCTGTGGGGTCCCAGAACGAGGTGAACAATTTGAGAATAAAAGGCAAGCCATTGAGAACTGAATGAGGAAGAGCTTCTTCAATAAGAGAAAGGTGAATCATTGGAATTCCTTCCTTGAGAGGGCTATAGTAGTTTATCCATAAGTAAATTCAAGAAAAAAGATTGATAGTTTTCTAGTTATTAATGACATCAAAGGATATGGGAATAGTGCAGGAATAAAGTATTGAAATGGGTGATCAGCCATGTGGAGTGGCAGCCTAGATTTGAAGGTCTGAATGGTCTACTCCTGTTCTTGTGTTTCTATTTGTCAAACTTTTCTCTCTGAAGCTTCGATTCCAATCCCAACTTAATTATCACTTATCACTTTATGCCTTTTTTAAAAAGAAAGTGTGCTTGAAGAACTGCCAGAATGACATTCAAAGTTCAAATACTCTTAGAAAAATAAAACAATAGAGCTCAACTATAAGTCCCTACTTTTTAACTTTAAGTGACGGGACTGTAATTCCACTCTTCCCAGAGTTTTATGCCTTTCTGTCCTCCCTCTCTCTCATGTGCATTTAACCTGCCCAAACCACATTCATTCCCACCCCAATGATCTTGCCCAGTGTCAACATTAAACACTGGAAAGTCAGATCTGATTCCCCTGGCTGGGTTTACAGTTTCCAAATAGGGTGTTGACCACTTATGATTGAGATGAAGAGAAGGTTCTTCACACAGATAATTGTGAAAGTTTTTCGAATTCTCTATCCAAAGATACTGCATCATTGAATGCATTCACGGTGGAAATGGATATATTTTGATGCTTTGGTTGGGTTGCTCGCCGAGCTGGTTCATTAGTTAGCAGACGTTTCATTACCCTGCTGGGTAACATCATCAGTGCAGCCTCCGATGAAGTGCAGTTGAGTTTTCCCTCCTGGTATTTAACTCTGGGGTCTGTTGGATTTGATTACCTCATTTCTGGTTTTCCTTCGCAGTGGTGTATATATAGGGTCTAGTTTTATGTGTTTGTTGATGGCCTTCTTGGTGGTGAATCAGGCCTCTAGGAATCCCGTGCTTGTCTCTGTTTGGGCTGTCCTAGGATCCTGGTGTTGTCCCAATCGAACTGGTGGTCCTCCTTATCCATGTGAACATTAGGGATACATTTTGAGTTTGTAAAGTAAGGTAAATCGAGGGATTTTGGGAGAGGGCTGGAGAATGAGGTTAATGCTGATGATCAGCCACACTCATACTGAAAGGCAGAGCAAGCTTGAGGAACTATATGGTTTACCCTTGCCTCCCATTCCAATGTCCTTATGTTCTTAATTTATGTTGTTGTTTCTTAACAAAGGGGATTCGTGGTTTCCCTGGGCCACAAGGTATTACAGGTACTCCTGGACCTGAGGTATGTATTTGATGTGATTTCATTTAATATCTTTTAGAATGTATATATTGATAAATAATTTTTTGAGAGACAATTTATATTCCCAATCATCTCCAGAAACACCAAAGCCAAATAAATCATCTATAATATCATATGCACATGTTGATTTTTTTCAAGTGGTAAAAAGGAATACTTTAAATGGGTCAACGGTTATGTGGTGACAAGGAATTTAAGATAGATTCAATCTTTTGTAGAATAACATCTCAACTAACATTTCTAGGCTTATATATTTTGAACCCTGATTTTGAATCATGTTGTATGGGAGAGGGCACAGCTTTGTCTTTTATATTTGAAGTTAACCTTCTTTTCTATCCATGTTAAAACAATGAAAGTACTGTTTTAAAACTCCAATACAACTGTTCGCATGTTATGCCTTCATTTGGTTAGTGCCTTGCACGGACTTTTTCTCAACTTATTTCTGTTTGACTAGTAAAGTAGCCCAGTTTAAGACAGCAGTTCAGCATGAAAAAGGAGATAATTTTGAGGGAAAGCAGGGTGCCTGTATCTAGAGGGGGAGTGTAGAGCTTGTTAAATCAGGATATGAAACCATGGTGGGAATGTATATCAAGAACTTGAGGGAAATCTTGATTTGTCCTTATCAATTATTCACTCTGTTTTTTGCCATGGGTGAAAAATCCTGACACAAGTTGTCAAGGTGGTATTTAGCTCCACAATCTGCCTGAGGCCTGAGAAACCCCACACCCTGACCTCCATTCATTCAGTACAGTTTGACTACAGTCCAAGCAGTGATCATTGTTCTTGATGGCATTAATGGGTCTATAGAATTGTCAGCCCTCCAATGGACCAGAAGCTCTTAGCGGCAGGATCTATCCCCTTAAATGGTTGGAAACTCTGATACCAGGATGGCAATTGCCTGTTGGTCAAATAATTGCATCAGGGCTTTCGTAAGTGACGGGCCTTGGCTTTCTGGCTGGGATCACCAGTATGACCATCAGGTTCAGCCCTCACTGTACACATTTCACAACTTGAGCAGCACAGACTAAACTTATCCTACCTCACCCACCATCAACACATCATAATGGTTTATGTATTTTTCAAATGGTTTTAAACCCAACTGTGTAGGGAGGCTGAAGCAAGCATTAAAGGGAAGAGTTTTCCTGTCATAATCAGAAAGACAAGGGATCTCTATGTCACTTCAGTACTGTATGTCACTGTATTAGGTCCAGCATATCTCGTGGCGGCTGAGAGCAAAAGCAACTTCTTTTCCCAGTAGAGAGACAGAATGATACTCCAATTTAACATGTACTCCACTAACTGGATATTAAAGATATCGTCTGATGCAAATATTCAAATCAAGGGCAAAAATTGCTGGAAAAAGCTCAGCACGTCTGGCAGCATCCGTGCAGAGAACTCAGAGTTAACATTTTGGGTCCAGTCTCCCTTCTTCAGAGAAGAGTCACTGGATCTGAAATGTTAACTCTGATTTCTCTCTACAGATGCTGCCAGACCTGCCGAGTTTTCCAGCAATTTCTGTTTCTGTTTCTGATTTCCAGCATCCGCGGTTCTTCTTGTTTTACAAACATTAAAATTATTCCCTTCTTGGGATTTGTCATGTGATCAGTGGTTTTTGGGGAATGAACGGAAATCTCACACAAATGCGTTTATTTCAATGGTGTTGTAATCCCAGAATTTTGGACCTTCTTAAAACTCTGTTCGTGTTCTTTCATGCTGAGATCTGATTATATCTTACAGGGTTCCCGAGGACCAAAAGGCTTCCCGGGTGCATCTGGTGAAAAAGGAAGCAAAGTGAGTGGCATTGAATCTTTGTTAATAACAGTCTCTCCAGGGGCTGAAGATACAGTTGTTCATCATTTCATAGTCATCCTTCAATGATCTCAAAAACATGAATCTTAGATTTGTGTTTATCGTCTCAGGTACTCAAGTACAGGGATATGTGAGTGCAGTAAACAGTGTACAAAGTCACCATTTCTGCCGCTATCTTAGGTACAAAGATACCTAGGTACAAAATCTTAGGTATAAATCAGAAAAATGAAAAAAAAAAAGTTAAAAAATCAACATTACAGTCCTTATAAAGCAAGGCACAAAGATACCTAGGTACAAAATCTAAAGTATAAATTAGAAAAAAAATAAAGAAATAAAGGTAAAAGTTCAGCATTACAGGCTTTCTAAAGCAGGAAGGCCATGTTGGGCTTCACCCCGAGACTGGGAGTCTGCACTGGGCTTCACCTCGAGACTGGGAGTCTGCACTGGACTTCACCCCGAGGCTGGGAGTCTGCACTGGGCTTCACCTTGAGGCTGGGAGTCTGCACTGGGCTTCATCCCGACACTGGGAGTCTGCACTGAGCTTCACCTCGAGGCTGGGAGTCTGCACTGGGATTCACCCTGACACTGGGAATCTGCACTGGGCTCACCTCAAGGCTGGGAGTCAGTACTGGGATTCACCTCGAGGCTGGGTGTCCGCGCTGGGCTTCATCCCGACACTGGGAGTCTGCATGGGCTTCACCCCGAGGCTGGGATTCTGCACTGGGCTTCACCTCGAGACTGGGAGTCTGCACTGTGCTTCACCTCGAGACTGGGAGTCTGCACTGGGCTTCACCTTGAGACTGGGAGTCTGCACTGGGCTTCAACTTGAGACTGGGAATCTGCACAGGGCTTCACCTCGAGACTGGGAATCTGCACTGGGCTTCACCTCGAGGCTGGGAGTCTGCACTGGGCTTCACCCCGAGACTGGGAGTCTGCACTGGG